AGCCCTTGCTACTACTTGCTTCCTAAAAATAAGAAAGCAACAAGTGTGATTCCTTAACATGTACATGTATGCATCTCTGCATCTAATATGCATAACTTATATTCTACCAGTTATTTTCTACTTCACTGTATAGCATTAAAACTGTGCTTCTCAGTGACTGCATAAAACATTGTGACTTCCAGTGCTTCAAATGGTTTTAGCAGCCATAGCTTACTGGAAAGAGCAAGGAAAGGTGTTGGAAGCCACTCAGATCATTAGCTGGTTTCCTGAATTCTCTGAGGTTACCATACCAAAAGGTTGGGGAATCAAATCAAGTACAGTTGGTCCTCCTCATCTGTGAGTTCTGTATCTGCTGACTCAACTAACTTCAGAAAGAAAATATTCAGGGGATGAGGGATAGATGATTGTATCTATACTGAATATGTAAGACTATTTTCTTGTCATTATTCCCTAAACAATACAGTATAACAACTGTTTACACAGCATTTGCATCATATGCAGTATTATAAATAACCTAGAGATGACTTAAAGCATCAGGAGGATGTACATAGGCTTTTACAAATACTACTCCATAAAGGATGGCTGTATTTGAAAACTATATAATACTGTATATTATCTCAAACATGTGTAGATCAAAGGCAGAGTAAGATGAACCTAGGGAGCAGAGAGAGTCTTTAAAATGGAGTTAGAAGATTTTCATATTTTAGGTTTGTGGGTATTATGAAAGTATGAGAAAATCAAATTATTATTTATCAATGTGATTATGAGGGAAAAATGTGATTTACTCCCACAGCACTAAATTTGGGTGAAATACTTGCTGTGGGGAGTTAGGAAAACCTATTTATGCTGAAAGAACCAGTGGCAAAACACTTGCATCTGGTAGACTGCTTTTTACTTTAAGCAAGTTTCCTTTACTCTAATGTTCTAATGTCCTAGAGACATTGTCTCTATAGATTTCTTGGAAAAGAAATTAATACATCATTATAAAACCATGAGTAGTATTAGTTTCCTATTGCTGCTGTAATTAATTACCACAACAGCTTAAAACAATACAAATTTATTATCTTACAGCTCTGGAGGTCAGAAGTACAAAATGGGTCTCAATGGGCTAAAATCAAGGTGGAAGCAAGGCTGTGTTCCTTCTGTAGGCTGGAAAGAAAGCAATTAGTTTCCTGGTCTTTTCCAGCTTCTAAAGGCCGCCCACATCCCTGGGCTAATGGCCCCTTTCTGCATCTTCAAAGCCAGCAGTGGTGGGCTGAATCTTTTTCCTGTTGCCATCTCTTCTTTCTCTATCTCCCTCTTCCAATTTTAAGGACCCCTATGATTATATTGGGCACCTGGATATTGCAGGATATGCTATTTTAAGGTCAGTTGATTAGCAACCCTAATTCCACCTGTGACCTTAATCATCTTATCCATGTGAGGAAACATGTTCCTAGGTTCTGAAGATAAAACATGGACATCTTGAGGTGGAGCATTATTCTGCCCACCACATGAACTATAACCTATTTTTAAATCAGTAAATATCAACCACACAATAGGACAGCTATTTCCCCAAATCTTTGCCCTCCCTACCCCTTTGAGGCTTGGCTTTGGAATGTGGAGGGGGTGGAGTAAGAAAATACCTTTTTCATTTAGTGCTAAGTGGTGGTGTGCTGGTCAACATTTAAGAATCAGGTCTAGAAGGGAGGAGGAGGAGGAGAGAAAATTGATCTGTAGCATTTACTGATTTCCACAGTGTAAATATTGTCCACCACAGTCAGTTTCAAGCTGCCAACATGAAGTCGAGTAGCTTAAAAAAAAAAAAAAATCCAGAAAATTTGACAATCTATTCTCACGGTATAAGCCAGTGCAAGGAAGCTACAGCACAGCACTAGACATATATATACCATGACAGACTATAGCCTAGGGAATGCAAGTTACATTCCTGAACTGAATACAATTGAAATATACCAAATACTCTCTCCAAATTTCCCCTTTTACCCGTAAGACTAACTCTTCCCATCAACATGAATGGATACTAAAGAGCTGGTTGATTTTCACACCTTTCTGTCTATTAAGGATCAAAAAATACCCACAAATGCTGGCAAGGAATCCAGTCTACTCTTCTCTCACTATGTGCTCCACACACAGATGATGAACAATCAGAATGAGACCCAAGGTCCCCTGGTGACTTCTTCTGGGAAAGGAGAAAATGAAAGGCAGAAGGGCAGTGGCCAGTTGGGGCAAGACCAGAGACAAAGCTAGAGGCTGTTGGGCAGCAATAGGCTGCTTGGATTCTACTTGACTCAGAGTTTCTGGGCAGCAGCCATTTGCCTAGGGAGGAGGGCAGTGTGTTTGCAGGCTGATGTCCATTTGTGTGTTTGCTGTGCATTTTAAAAATTAAGTGCTCCATAAGCACAGCCATTATCACTTGCCTTGGCCATTTTCACACTGGCAGTGTGAAATATGTCATTTCTAGATGGCTAATGTTCATTTTTCTTATCTGACACAAGCTACTAACTAGGCTCACATTTAACATGAAAAGTTACAGATTTATCTATGGGAAATGCTAGGATCATGGTGGCAGTGCAGGCCAATCAGCCACAGAAATCGCGTCTGTGGAAGGACAAGGATGGGTCACTCCTTTTTTTTGCAAGGTCGTTTAAATTAATGCTCCTCAAGCTTTTACGTGAACAGGAATTACCTGGGGAGCTTGTTAAAATGCAGATTCTGATTCAGTAGGTCTGAGGTGGAGCTAGAGATTCTGCTCTTTTAACAAACTCCCGGATGATACCAATGTTGCTTGTTCAAGGGCTGTATTTTCAATGAGAAGGGTCTACAGATCATCTCTCTCTCCCCATCTCTCACTTTCTGGCAAATTTATGGCAATAGAATTACAGTTGTCATATTAGGAAAGAGAAAAACACTACTGTTAGACAATGTTAAAACAGTTTTGGCCAGGCATAGTGACTCATTCCTGTAATCTCGACACTTTGGGAGGCCGAGGCAGGTGGATCCCTTGAGCCCAGGAGTTCGAGATCAGCCTGGGCAACATGGTAAAACCCCATCTCTACACAAAATTAAAAAATTTAAAAAGCTATGGTGGTGTTCACCTATACTCCCAGCTACTCAGGAGGCTGAGATGGGAGGATTACCTGAACCCAGAAAATTGAGGCTGCTGTGATCACATCACTGCACTCCAGCCTGGACAACAGAGTGAGACTCAGTCTCAAAAAAAAGAAAGAAAACAGTTTCAACCACAAACATTTACGAATAGTATACATTATTGATCCATGAAGAAATTAGCTGTAAATGACCCACAAGCCAGCCAATCATGGGTATTAAATGACAATAAATGACTTTTAGGACAAGAGGTTGCAATACAATAATGATTAAAGGTCTGCAAGCCTCTTAACTCTGCTCCTGGTGATGACTTAATGATTTTCTTTGTTCTACCTGAAATACAGACTATGCACTGTAAAGGGAGTGCCTCCTCTAAAATTGCAAGACCTAAGCATGAATCTTCCTTTGAAGGAAAAACGGAAGAAAAAACACTGGATGAAGAAAAGAAGAGTGGGGAACAGAAACACAGAGAGAGAGAGAGAAATACAGGTAAATTTTTAAAGTTGCTGTAATAAAAATTTTCTACAGTGAAACCATAATCATTGATCAGTCAGAAATGGATGGCCAAGTCAAACTTTATGAAGTTCCTATGCTCTTTTTATACTTCCAGCATTTTATTTCAGTTCCTTGTTTGCAAATCCAGTCTTATCTCCATCCACAAAGCCCACATCTCTACAGCAACAGGGTGCCCTCGAACTTGGGAGAAGAAGGTTTGGTGCTTCAGAAAAAGTTGGGAGCCTACCCAAGGTCACACTGCACAACAGACATCTTCCCAGATGGATTAGTCTGCTCCCAGCCAGGATGCATTCCCTTGACTTAAGGCTGCAGCAAGTGTCATGCATGGTGGTCAGTTTCATGAGCCAGCCTTGTCCCCAAACCTCCAAGATTTAAATCTATTACAGCTTAGGAATTTGTGGAAAATGAGAGTAGTAGGAAGAATGAAGGAGGGGTGTGGACAGAACACTACTACCTTTTTTTTTATTTTTCTCTAGCAGATAAACATTTTTAGGAGACTTTTTCCCCCTAAGTCCCAGAAAGAGTATCAAAACTAACACATCACTTTGAGGTTTAGAATAGATCATGTCACCAAAAAGGAAATGCAAATATAGGCTTTTTCTTTTATCAATAAGAGAGGCATGCTTACCTACATCCCACCCAATCTGGAAAGTTCAATATTTGGATGTAAGTACAGCAGCATATACCACTGATCGCCATCATTACTAGCTGCTTTGCCTTCTGGAAAAATATATGGTTACTACTTTCATCACTCCCCTAAGGAATGAGACAGTGTGGTGACAAGACACACAGCTCCAAGGCCAGTCTGCCTGGATGTGAATCTCAGTTCTTCTTACTGGTTGATATGGTTTGGCTGTGTCCCCACCCAAATCTCACCTGGAATTGTAATAATCCCCACGTGTCGAGGGTGGGGCCAGGTAGAGACAATTAAAGCATGGGGTAGTTTCCCTCATAATATTATTGTGGTAGTGAATAAGTCTCACAAGGTCTGAGACTTTTATAAAGGGGATTCCCCTGCACAAGCTCTCTTGCTCTGTTGCCGGCTGCCATGTAAGACATGACGTTGCTCCTCATTCACCTTTAGCCATGATTGTGAGGACTCACCAGCCATGTGGAATTCTGAGTCAGCTAAGCCTCTTTCTTTTATAAATTCCCCAGTCTTTATTAGCAGTCTAAGAACAGACTAATACACTGGCTGAGGGGCCCCAACCGGTAGGCAAATTATCCAGCCCCAGTTGCACAATTGGGTAATAAGGGGGACAGGTTCTTCACAGAGTTACTGTGAGGATTAACTGAGTTGATATACGGACAGTGTCCAGAAGACAGCCTGGCATATTCTAAGCCCTCAGCAAATGTGAGCTAATGCTCCTCCTCCTTACCTTCTCTCTCTGAATTGCCTTCATTTTTTGGAGTTCAGCTTCTTCAGCTTCCTTCTTGATTCTTACAGATTCTTCTCTTTTTAGCTAAATTATATTGAAATTACAGAGAACGAAAACAGTTACCATTTTTCAGTCTGAACTCTGGAACACAAAATTATGATGAAAGGCAAATTGCAGTATTGTTTGTGCTATACCTCACCATGATTATAGGTTGTTACTTCAAGCTACTTAGATCACAGAGACTGGCCGGGCTACGTCTTCTGCCTGTGAAATTTCTGTCTTTGTGTTTCTTCCTTGGTCTCTCCCTTTCTCAAGGTTTCTGTCTCTCTCTCTCCCTCTCTCTCTCTGTGTGTGTGTGTGTGTGTGTGTGCGCACGCATGTGTGTGGTATGTGTGTGTATTGGGGAGGGAAAAGGGAAAATGATTTTTCCTGATTACAAAACTCAGTGTTCATTGTAAAAATCACTGAATATCTTAAATCTTTTTTGTACTGCTTCCACGATTGGCCTGTGGTAAATAAATTCACATTCTTAGAACCAAAATATTCCAGACATAATAGACTTTAAACTATAGTTAAAATATAGTTAACTTAAACTAGAAAAAGAAGTCCTTTAACTGAGTGATAAAGGGCTTAGATAAGAATTGAAGGTGTCCATTTCTGAACTTCTTACTTCCTGATAGCTTTGATTTTGAAAGCTGCCTTTGCAATTGGCTGGAAGATTTTATGCTTTTGGTAAAGTTACTGTGTTATTTCACGGTTACTTGAAAGAGCTGGTACTCATATTCCTTACCAAAATTAAACCAAAAGAGATGAATTCTGACCTTTTGCTGGTACTTAGATTGCCTCAGCTGGAGTTGTTGTTTCTGTCTGACTTCAGTTTCTGACTGGCTTCCACCTTAGGAAAAAAAAATTCACATAGGTGAAACATAAATATTAAGCTGAAATGTCAGCCATCAAGGACTAATTAATAAATAATAAATTTGTAACATGAGTTTTGTGAATATTCTCATGCTCTTGGAAATAAGAACATAACCTGTTTTTCTAATAAGAACTTAAATAAGGAGAATACTTAGAAAAGAGAGGTGGATGGAAAGAGGAGGCCATATTTTTAAAACAAAAGAACACTTCTAAAGATTTTCAATCATGTAGGTAATTCAACTTTTCACTTGGATTGAAATCATACCTAAAGGTCTGCACTAAACAGAAGAAACAGTTCCTGTCTAGGAAACTGTAGAATATTCCTCCTTCTTGATTATGACCATGACTGAACCTAATAAAGATGGTGACCAAAGGTGCTTCTATTGCTTTTCGTCTTCCAACTCTATTGCCTTGTGTTCAAGCAACAAGGCTCAGGAAGCTCTCAGAGGTCTTGCCACTAGACAAGTATTTAATCTTTATAACAGTTTCTAAAAATACAATGGGAATAGTCTAGTTAGTAACTGATCATCAATCCATACTATTTATTGTTCTTTCTTTATATAGTCAAACTAAAAATATGGATGTTAAATTATTTACTTGCTCTCTTTTATATACACATATTTTAAAAATCAGATATTAAACTGATAAGAACAGATACTAGATTTTAGCCAAAAGGCCGAGAAGCAATATTGCTCTCTCTTAAACCTAAAAGAATTTGGGGCCAGAAATCCTGACAGCTTGACAATCATCTAAGAATTGCCCTTTAGGGAATTATCAGTATTTACGCAAGCTTGGTGTGCATATTATAGAGGTTCCTTTGAAATAATTCTCTGGTGCTTTGGTCACTAAAAGTGTCAGCTTTCTGAAAGATGCACTCTCACAGAAGATGCATTAAAACAATTTGTGTTCACTATAGATCTTATAATTGAACTGAGAAAGATACCATAGGGACTTCTCTTCTGAGATTCAAAAGATATATAAGGGCTGTTTGATGTGGGCCCTTCGATTGCTATTGTGGGGGGTAGGGAATGTTTCTTTCTAAATAGTGAAGAATGTTGACGTCTTTCATAATGTTACAGCAACTTTTAGCATCTCCTGCAACAATTCCAGTATTTTAAGGGGTAGAGAAATAGAGGAGTTGAAAATTAGAAGAAATGTAGAGAGCCAGATGTCTAAACATTTACAAGTTTTGTTCAAAACTCATCTTAAAGTTTAATACAATTTAGAATTTTCTTTTCTACCCCCATGCCCCTCCCCCACCACACACACCTTACTATCCCTAGATAATGTATGTAACAGGAATTTGCAATAAGAATCCTGGTCACTCTACTGTTTGAGAAAAACCAAAAGCTTTAATTTTTTACATCATCCAAAAAGCCTGGGAAAAACTAGTCTCACATAGCCAATCTCAGGACCAGGTTAGAAGAGATTAAAGCTATTTTCTGATTGTACCCTTCAAGTCTGGCTCATTTGCACCAAGGAAACACTTGAGATAAGCACTTTTAATGAAATACAGTGGGATGATGATAATATTACTACTTCCTCTCATTAAATAATTTCCAAATTAGATTATTTTTACCTATGTTCTTGGGGGTGGGGAGGGAACTCAAACAATCACAACAGTAAATGGCTTCTGACACAAGACGTGCTTCTATTAACTAAATCTGTGGACACTGTGTGTCCAACCCTTTAAATTTTCGGCTGCTGCTAGAAGAAAAAAGGCAAAGAAAAGATGTGAATGATTCCCATTAGGTGGCATCCCCTCTGAATGATTCAAACACCAGCAAAGGCAGCCCAGACAATTCATCACACTGGCAGCACCTGCTCCAGAGGCCCAGAGGTCTCTATCTGCAGAATAAAAACACAGGTGATGTTTCTCTTATACCCACCACCGGCTCTCCAGCTCACTCTCATCTTGCTCTTGGAACTGACTCTCCACTCCTTTTCTTCACATTAACATTTAACTGCCATGATTAATATGCTTGTGTTAGCGTTTACTCCCATCCTGACTAGTGCTATGCCAGGGCATATGCAGCGCCCCAGGTAAGCTCTCTTCAGAGTCAGTCATCTAAGAGGCTCTAAATTATTTCGCAATTAAGCCATCACTTTGTTCCCATAGAACGGTAGCATTACAGGTTTGCTACTTACAGAAAATCAGAAATATGTATATCTTCATTAAATGCATTCCACCCAAGCAGCACAATGACCAAACAATCTGCAATGGACACTCACAGACATATGCAAGCTGTTAACAGGATCATCCATCGGGGGCCCCGCCCTCCCGCATTCGGGCCGCGTGCTTGCTTACCTAGCGGCCTGGGCACCAGGTGAAGTGGTTTAGCTCTGTTCTGCTCCTTCCATTTCTCCAGGTTGGCCAGCTCTTGCTCCGCAACTAAGCAGGTGAGAAATATCAAATTGTCAATTACTAGACTTCTGAAAGAAAAACAGTCCCTTCGAAGCATAAGAAACAACTATTAGAAGGCAATTAAACAACAATTAGAAGGCAATCCATGTTCACTACATGGGAGCATGAGTGAACAAGGCTTCCAGGACAGGAATATTCAGCCCTGACGCCTATGGGTCACCCTCCGCCTGTGGCACATTCTTACCAAGAGTCAGCACAAAGAGTTCAAATTTTGAAAAACCACCTGGGCTCCTACTAAAACAAAAAATGTATAGATTTTCCTACCATTCTGGCATTCTTAAAACTCTGTATCAAGTTAATTTTTAAAGTTTCCTATAGACAATGTGTGCACAACTAGAATATTTTCATGTCAAGAATTTTCCACACACAGGTAAACATGCTCCAGAGAATTCTGATACCCATACTCGCTTTATGTTCAATGCTCCCCAAGCTTACTGCAACTCTAGGGAGTGAGGGCTCGGTGCCACAGGTGGGGACCCTCGCTCTGGTTTCGGGCACTCCAGACCAATTATGCAGAGTGGGCTTCCCGGGGAGCAGGGCTCGTTTCCTAAATGTTCACTCTGCACGACAGCAGGGGGCGCCAGAGAGAAGAGAGTTTTGTCAATCCAGTGCCTCCCCTTATCTCTCCGTGAGATCTGTTTCAAATGTCCATTAGAAAAACAAATTCTGAAACATTTCAGAATCCAGACCACAATGAGACTTAAGCTCCTATTAAGTATCTTAATCAAAAGCTTGTAAGATACCAGAACGGCTGGCAGTTCCCACAGTCCCTGCATGGCGGTGATTGTCATCTGCACTGACCCCACTATACCTCCCGGGGCTACATGTCTGGTGGGGACTCTTTAGAGAGCTTTTGTGCCTTTCTGTCCACATTAGTCATAAAGTTAAATTTCCTATCAATGATCTAATAAAGAAGACCATCGAATTTCAGCATCAAGCTTGCAGTTTGTGGACTAAATGAACTTTATCTTCCACCTCTAAAGGATAATGCTATAACTTTAAATGGCAGCATTTATATTTACTGTACATTGATTAAACATTAAACATACAGAGAGCACAAAAACGAGTAAGATGTGATCCCGGCCCTCAAGGAGGTTTCTTGGCAATAAGTGTAAAGTTGTTCAAGCTAGCAGAAGTCCAGGAGCTACCACCATGTCATGAGTTCTGTTACTAAGGTAGAGAAACAAACTTAGAAGTGTTAATAGAGTATTTTTAAGGTATAATCAAAACTGCTGATGTTTAACAAAAAAATTAAAAACACTTGATGAGATTTAGTGAGTCTACATAAATCAGAAAATACTTCACACCAAAACAAACCAGTTGTAAAGAGAGAGAGAGAGGGCTGGGTGTTGTGGCTCATGCCTGTAATCCCAGCACTTTGGGAGGCCAAGGCAGGTGGATCGCCTGAGGTCAGGAGTTCAAGACTAGCCTGATCAACATAGTGAAACCCCATCTCTTTATTTAAAAAAAAAAAAAAAAAGAAAAGAAAAAAAGAGAGACAGAGAAGAACTCTGAACGTTAAATGAATGATTATACGTACTTCTTTGTATCTGATTTCTTCGGTTTACATTTGGTGCTATCATGGTATATGCACTTGTGCTGAAAGGAAGAGAAAAAATATTGCTTATCACCACGAGAAACTACCAAGGTATATAAGCCACCAAATTATTTTTCCTTCTGTTATACTGTATTTATGATCATCACCATCAAATAGGCACTATGAAAGATAATCTTAAGACCCTGACCTGTTCTCTGAGACCTCACAATCTTGATGTCAAAGTAAACAAAGGACATGGCCAAATACGGAAATAGAAAGCAATCAATGAAGAGTGACAAGTGACTAGCTGGTATACTGTCCTTGCAGGGGTCCACTGTTCCTCTAGATGATGCTTGTGAGTAAATTCCTTTAAGATTGCTTTAGATTGGCATTCTCTTCCATGTAACCATACTGGGGTACAGGAAACATTAGTGCATTTTTGTCCCCACAGACTGAGCCTCAAGGCCATTTGCAATGCAGCCACCTCCTCTTGATGACCTGAGTAGCCAAATGGCTTTCAGGCTTTGGCCTTTCTAGGCCTCTGTCCACTGGGTCTCTTATTCTCCTAGGGTCACAGGTTGACCATAATCAGGGGCTCAGAGAAGCAAGGAGTCATTTCAAACAGGGGGATCAGGGAAGACTTTATTTAAACAAAAATATTCAACTGTGTGACACTAGGAAGCTATTAAAATATTGTGAGCTTTTGAGGGCAGAGAGTGTGCTTGATTGATGTATATTCCAAATCCCTGGCACATGTCTGGCGCAAAGACACTGGCAGCTTGATAAATGTGTGCTGAATTAAAACAAAACGATGCTACAGACCCAGTCTGTGAGTCTGTGTTGGGATGGCTCATTTTTGAGATGACGCATGTGATCCCACAAGAGCATGAATACTCTGTTAAGCAAAAATGAAACACAGCAACAGACTGCAACATACATGTAGGTACGGTTTTAAGAGAAATGCTGTGGATAAACACAACCAACTTATACCTGTAGGATTTAAGAGGGGGAAAATAACCACCCAGATACTCTTCGAAGTCTCTCTCTTTTACCTGAATGTACAATTTCAAAGGGCAAATTAGCAAAGATTAAACAGTAGAGGCCAAAAGCACTGATTAACAGAAGCCATTTCCTTCCTTATCTCATTATTTTTCTAGCAGCTAGCCTTCAGCCAGCTTCAAACTGGGCTTTAATTTTAGACTTGTAAATGTGAGATATGCAACAGCCTTTGCATGCAAATGGGGCTGCTGGATGCCCAATTACCTAATGTATATCAGCAGACATTGCATGTGTAGCCTAGCATGCATACAACGTTATGAATACAAAATTAGGAGGCTGCCACTGGAAATTAATCCCTTGTCCATTGCATATTCTTTGTTCACCCTAAGAAAAAATTTTCACTCCTGAATTGCCAGTACTTTATAGGAGCTTGGAAAGCTGCAATGCCATGAGTAGTCCCTGGAAACTTGAATATGATACAATGGTGAACCATTCTACAGAGACTGAAAGCTGAAACATGAGATACAAATGTAAACGCCAACCATGAAATTGCTAGGCAATCTTCAATGTCTGCTAACATTGTGGTATAGAGCGTCTCTCTATACCACAGATTTGACTATACTTCAGAGATCAGTAGTTATCAGCCTTAAATTGTGCATCATAATCACCTGGAGGGCTTGTCCACCAGCTTATTAAAGAGTAGAGTTTCTAATTCTGTAGCTCTGTAGTGAGATCCAATAACTTACATTTTTAACAAGTTTCTAGATAATACGGATGTTCTTGATCTAGGTATCACACTTGGAAAACCACTGCTATAGAGCAGTCAAGCTATTATAGAAGATTTGCGCTAAAAGGAAACTTAGGGATTCATAAATCATTGGTAAATACACAGAGGTTGAATCTCAGGCCGAAGATCACCAGGTCAATTGAGCAACAGTGATGAGACTCCAATCTAGGACTTTTGACTTAGATCAGTTATCTGTCCGTGGCTAACTTTTCAACTCAATGTGCAAAGCACAAAATATAACCATCCTTTAACTTCAGCCCCTTGATAGACTTCCAAACAATTCAGCGTACCTAACTGAACACTTATTATGGACTTATCTTATCAGAGGCTTACAGACAGTGTGGGGAAAGTCCAAAACGTGGATACTAATCACTTTAACAAAACTTACACTTTAGTTAGGAACAAGTCAAGAAACCACCAAAGCATCCCACAAGAATATCCAACCACTCAACATGAGTTCTGGTTGGGGGGGGAAAAAACAAGAAAAAAGAAATAAATAAATTTATAAAGAATATCCGCACAAGTCTTAAAGTGGGACGATGTACTTACCTCCCTCTTTAAGACTTGTGCAGATCCAAACAGTGGAGATTCATAGAGACCTCAGAGGAGTAGAAAAATGAATAGCATGAAATAAGAATAGCAAGCTGAGGCTTGAAGAATAGGACCTGAAATCGCAGAAGTGCTTCTTTGCCAGGACTTTGCCAAAAGCAGCCTCACAGAAAATTTTCCAAGTCCATGGTCTCTCTTACAGAGATTTTGCAAAAGGTTTGGAAAGCAAAATCAATCTGTTTGTAAACGATTGTATTCTACAACATCTAATCTGGTTAAGTTTTTAAGTCTGACATCATACTAGAATCTTCCGTCTCAGGAATAGGACTTCAGTCAATCTATGGCCAATGTATATAGCCTACAGTTACCTAATAAAGAAACATAAAATCAAGAGAAAGAATTAGCTCTGAATTTAGAGGGTTTTTACTGAAGGCAGTTTAGCATAAATCCAGGCAGTGATTCCAGGAATAAACATTTTATGTAAGTGAATTCCTTGGCAACCTTCTTAGCAATATTTTATTGGCTGAAAATGCCAAATCTAAAACATGTTGTATTAGTCACAAGAAAGCATTGCCAAGTAAATGGCAAGTAACTTAGCTTCTATTTCTATTACTATAGGAAGAAGAGCTTAAGACAAAGGATATGCTTTTTATTTTTTAATATCATGTGTCAGAGTGTAATGCCTTAGTAGATACAAATATTCATCCCTTCTTTCTCAGCTTTCTCTTGACATGAATAGCAAGTATAATTTATTAATGTTTTTAGCCAATTAGTTTCTACCCACAGCAAAGGCTTTGCTGTTTTCACCTATGTGCCATCCCTTTCAACAGTCTGACTCTCAAAGCTGCTGATCTAGACAAGCCCAACAACTAACATTTGGTATTCTTGTTATTTCCTGATTAAGCAACATTCAAGCCACTGTAATAAATGTATATATTTGAAAATGAGTGTTCTTAATTACCTCATTGAAATTTAATGAAGTATCTCAATTTGTAAGATTGTTTTCACTTTCTCAACAGCACACATCCATGAGATATACTAAGGAAGAATATATGAAAGAACAGATAAGATAAAATGTTTTTCTGCACCATAGAAACATAAAATAAAAAGATATTCAAGAAATGTTTGGTCGGGCACATTGGCTCATACCTGTAATCTCAGCACTTTGGGAGGCCAAGGCACGTGGATCACTTGAGGTCAGGAGTTCAAGACCAGCATGGCCAACATTGTGAAACCCTGTCTCTACTAAAAATACAAAAATTAGCTGGGTGTGATTGCGCACACTTGTAATCCCAGGTTCTTGGGAGGCTGAGGCAGTAGAACTGCTGGAACCCAGGAGGCGGAGGTTGCAGTGAGCCGAGACCGTACCACTGCACTCCAGCCTAGCCAGTAAGAGCAAAACTCCATCTCAAAAATAAAATAAAATGTTTTCCTTGTGCGGTTTCTCGAGTTACACAACTGCATCTTGTGTGTACATTCTTGCACAATTTGTATAACTTTTTCTCAATAAGCACTCTGAAAAAATGTTACGTTGAAGTTATCAAAAATATCTTGGCTGGCTAAAAGTAATACATAAATATATCCCCTGGTGTGTACAAACTGCACCAGATGTAATTTAAATTTCTAATTAGAAACAATACTGGTTTGACTGAAAAAGAAATGTAGTCAAGAGCAAAAATTCAGAAAGAGAAGATTAAGTGTAAACATAATTTCAAACAGAATAGTAGACATGTAAAGTCACCAGTGTGGCAAAAAAAAAATTGGTTTGAAGTTTTCATAGTTCAAGTAAATCTTATCCTTGGGTATATATAAATTGAAAAAAAGATTTGAGGATAATCAAAGGCATTTGGATATATCCCTTATTTGTCTAGATATGACATTCCATATTGTTTTTTGTTACACGACCTTCAATGTAGGAATCTGAAACTTACTGTTTTCAGTCAACACTGAGTCAAATCTTCTGAGGCATTTAAGTTTCCAAAAGGTTTTTCATAAATAGATCAAATTCCCAAGAAAAAATAAAAATGACAAGATCAGGCCGAGTGAATTGCCCTTGACCCTTAAGCCTGTATCATACCACCCTGATCAAGTGTTCCACTTCTCCAGTATGGAAATGTTTATGAATTATCTTGGCCTCAGAAACTACAAAGCTTAAGACACTATATCTGCACACCCAAGAAGCTGATGTGTAATTGATTAGTTCTTTTATCAATATAACTCATAGCTTCTGTTAGAGGGCTGAATAAACACACAGCGGGTAAAGACAGATAAATAAGCAGGAAATACTCAGGGTCTTTGTTTATAGGATGCTTTTATGGAAACTAGAGGCACACATACATACCCAGGATCCCCATGGCTTAGTGAGACATTGTAAATTCACGCAAATTAGAAAAAAAGCGCTGCTTCTTTCAGGTGGAAGTAATCCCACACTAAGACACATGGTTTGGTATGTATCTCAGCCACAAATTACACCTTAGCTGGGCAAGTATGTGCTGTCACCAATCTGCACAACCATATAGAATGGACCTGAGATGATGTATTTCTTCACTTAAACACATACACATAAATAAAATCCACACCAAAAAAATTAGCAAGAAGGAGTCACACTAACAATACAAAGAATGTATATGAAGTACAATACTGTAGAGACTCAGCATCTTTAAGAGTTCAAAAACCAATGACGGGACCATCATTGAAATGGAGACCAGTTGGTAGGTATACTTACAAAATGTCTTGTAACTACTTCCTAAGTAAAAGTAACTAGAAGAAATTCATATTTTCAGAACATAGAGATGTCAGGTCTGGGATTTGATTGGATTCCACTTACAAGCTAATAAGTTAGCCTGTCACTGTTTCATGGACACTGGAAGAAGACATGAAGTTCCTGGATCAGAGACAAAGGACTTTATGACTCATGGCACCATAGGCAGCATGAGCATCAGTTTATTTACATCTATTCTCTCTGGCCTCAAGTCTTATGGGGGCAACAGGATAGATGCTGCACACATGGCGTGTTTGCATTGCAGCTGAGAAAATGCTTGGGGAATATACCATTTTTACAGCAGATACTTAGTGAGACCGGTCTTTGCCCTGGGGAGAACAAACCTCATCTCTCAAGGTTCCCAGCTAAATAAACAACCCTAAGAAATAGGTTAAAGAGTAGTCTTGGCACATCCAACAAAACATGAGTACAAGAGGCCCTAGGGAGACACTCTCTTTTCCAGCAAGAGAATATTTAGTATTAAATTCCTATTAAGAATGACTTAAGAAAGAAATTGGTATTTGCATAAAACCACCTACTTATGAAATCTGCTATATATTTTCTCTTCATATTATTAGCAGTAGACTTAGAGCTGATTATGTTCACATCTGAAGCATTACTCCTCAAGATTATCTACAACCTAAAGGGAAAAACCAGCAATGCAAGACATAATGATGTACTCCAAAATCTGTGCATGGAACATTTAGAAATGAAACTTACTGTTTATTTCTGATTTTGAAAGAAACACACTTGTAAAAGAAAATTCAGAAAACTATTTTTAAAACATGTAAAAGTCACACATAATCCCATCCCTTAAAGATCACAATTACAATTTTATTTGGACGAATTTACTTTTCATCTGTGTTCTATATATATTGCACAGTTGCAATCATATTTTAAGTACAGTTGTATATTCTGCTTTCATTTACAAGTGGTTTTCCTAATTTGATTATATGCATAACATGCTTAATGCTCAATGGCTGCATAGTATTTCATGACATTGGTGCATCATACAACCTCTCAACTATTTTAATTATTCACTATTATAAATAATCCTGCAGGATGTACAAAGCATACCACTTTCAACAGAAAGTTATCCAGAAGAAAACGTGAATAGTCCTCTGAAATCACTACTCTGAACAGGAATGTGGGCTACATTTAAATTTTTCTTCCTTACATAGCCTACTTATATTTCAAAAATCTCAGAGACAACATAATCACATGATTAATTTCCACTCTTATGCTTGAATCCCTATTTTTTTATTTTTTTATTTTTTTGAGATGGAGTCTCACTGTCACCCAGGCTAGAGTGCAATGGCGTGACCTCAGCTCACTGCATCCTCCGCCTCCCAGGTTCAAGCAATTATCCTGCCTCAGCTGCCTGAGTAGCTGGGATTACAGGTGCATGCCACTGCGCCTGGCTAATTTTTGTACTTTTTTAGTAGAGACGGGCTTTCACCACCTTGGCTAGGCTGGTCTCAAACTCCTGACCTCGTGATCCACCCACCTTGGCCTCCAAAGTGCTGGGATTACAGGTGTGAGCCACCGCGCCCGGCCGACTCCCTTTATTCTTAAACTAGAAGATATGTAGTAGGCCCTACCCAACATTCACTCTTACTTCTGCCTTATTGATAGCACTTCTATATATCATTCAGACAGACAATGTGCCCAGCGAAAAGACTACAGCCACCAACCTTCTTTATAGGTAGGTATGATTATGTGATTAAGTTTGAGAAATTGAGATATAAGCAGAAGTCATTGAGAGGGATTTCTAGAAGTCTCCTTTAAATGGTAGAAATAGATAGACAAATAGAAAAAGCTGTTTTGTTATTTTCCTTCTTCCTGGAAAGCTGAAATGGTAGCTGGTACTCAAGCAGCCATCTTAATCTGTGAGGCACCCTGAATATGGAAGACATGATCAGGAATAGCAGAGCAGAAGGACAGAAGCAGTCTGGTGCTCTGTGACCATGAAACCACCACATTAGTGGTCATCTATTGCTGTACTGCCCGACTTCAAACCGTAATTCTGTTACTTCCTAACTGTCCAACTTTGAGCAAATTATTTATTTTTTTCATTTTCCCACCTGTAAAATAGGGATAACTATCCACTTCATAGAATATAAAGTGCTGTGAACCCCGAATAGCTGAAACGGGTCTCAGTTAATTTAGAAAGTTTATTTTGCCAAGGTTGAGGATGAGCCAATGACACAGCTTCAGGAGGTTCTGATAACATGTGCCCAAGGTGGTCAGAGTACAGTTGGTTTTATACATTTTAAGGAGACAGGAGACATCGAACAACATACGTAAGATGAGCATTGGTTTGATCCAGAAAGGCGGGACAACTGGAAGCAAAGGTGAGACAACTGGAAGCCAGGAGGTGACTTTGAATAGAATGGAAGGCAAGTTTGCCCTGAGCAGTTCCCAGCTTGACTTTCCCCTTCAGCTTAATGATTTGGAGACCCCAAGATTTCTTTTTCATTTCACAGTGCTTAGAACAATGCCAGAAAATATTCTATTATAGTTTCCTGTTATTTTTACTAGATCAGCCCTAGACCACCTACCCCCAGACTTATTTTATGGGAAAGAAGTAAAGCCATAGATACTTGGTGAAGAAGCCTAGGAACATCTATTTTATCGTATGTAATTATAGTAAGTATATATAAGGTATATGACATCTATTTTATGTGTAATAGAACCTAGCCCTGAATCACTAGTACGTCTCCTTTATTCATACTGGGACTGATTCCCTTTGCTGCATCTTCTTTCATAAATATACATCAAGTTATTTCTAATTACTTCTTTATATCCCTGTTTCTGGCTCTTCCTTTTAACATCTATATCCTGGTTCCTGATTCTTTCCTTTGAATAATAAGGACGACTGCACGAAACAAAGTAGTATTTATAAATAATACAGCTTAAAGATTAGTACATATTTTTCCCCTGTAAATGGTAGTATGAGTCTGAGCCCAGGCTTTTTTCATTAAATTATTTATTAAAGTATAATGTACCTACAGAAAACAACACAAATTTTAAGCATACGGCTTATGTCTTTTCTTATTTTTATTCAGTCTCCGTAGAGACTGAATAAATTGCCAGTGCCGACTGTATTGCAAGTTGTCATGGCAGGGTATTGGGAATGGTTTTCAATTAGCAATAATCACACCTCGAATAAACCTCATTGGCTGCGATACTGCCACTGCGCAAAGCTGGTATACAGCTTCATAACAAAAGTTCTTTTACATTATCCAGGTTCCAAAAGAGAAAAGGAAAAAAATAAGAAGAGGCACAGGCCGGGCGCGGTGGCTCAAGCCTGTAATCCCAGCACTTTGGGAGGTGGAGGAGGGTGGATCACGAGGTCAAGGGATCGAGACCATCCTGGTCAACATGGTGAAACCCCGTCTCTACTAAAAATACAAAAAAATTAGCAGGGCATGGTGGCGCGTGCCTGTAATCCCAGCTACTCAGGAGGCTGAGGCAGGAGAATTGTCTGAACCCAGGAGGCGGAGGTGAGCCGAGATTGCGCCATTGCACTCCAGCCTGGGTAACAAGAGCAAAACTCCATCCCAAAAAAAAAAAAAAAAAAGAAGAGGCACAATAGTTTTAGAGTATCACCTAAAATTACATTTCTCCCAGTGTTTTAAGAAATTTTAAGCCTAACAAGCAGAGTTAAATATTAGTAAAGTAAATACCCATATACTATTTATTTATATTTACCAGTTGCTAATGTTTTCCCACATTTGCTTTTTCTCTTTTTTAACCATAGGAAAATAAGCTGCAGGATCATAACACATCATCCCTGAATATTTTAGCATGTATCTCCTTAAAAAAAAAAAGTCTCATACTTAAACACAGTAACATTATCACAGCCAATAAATTTAACATTAATATTGCCTAAAAGTCTATATTCAAATTTCCAAATTGTTTTCATTTTAATATTCTTCCCTACCTCTACCTCATCCTAGATCCGATTATGGATTACACATTTCTGTTGTTTGACATGTGTCTGTAGACTCCTATAACCTCAGACAATTTCCTTGACTTTTTTTTCTTTCTTTCATGGCTGACGTATTTGAAGGGTTCAGGCAGCTTTTCTTATAGAATGCTTCACAATCTGGATGTAAGGAAATGATTATTTCCTCATGATTAGACCAGGTTAAACATTTTTAGAAACAGCACTAAATAGGAGAGGTCGTCCAACATGCCACTGTGAGAACAAGGGTTGTTTTCTTGTACAACTAATATAATAAGCCAAAGTGAAAAACATTGTCTGTATGATGGGGTGCAATCACAGTTTAAAACAAAGATTAGAAAAAGAGTATCTGTCACCTTCTATTGGCAATAGAAATCAAAGGGCATTGTACTAGTCCATTCTCATGCTGCTAATAAAGGCATACCTGAGACTGGGTGATTTATAAAGAAAACGAGGTTTAATGGACTCACAGTTCCATATGGCTAGGGAGGCCTCATAATCATGGCAGAAGGCAAAGGAGGAGAAAAGCATGTCATACATGGCAGCAGGCAAGAGAGCATGTGCACAGGAACTGTGCTTTATAAACCATCAGGTCTCTTGAAACTTATTCACTATCACAAGAACAGTACAGGAAAAAACCATCCCCGTAATTCAGTTACCTCCCATGGGTCCCTCCTACGATACATGGAGATTATGGGAGCTACAATTCAAGATGAGACATTGGTGGGAACACAGCCAAACCATATCAGGCATCATGGCCCTAAGGTTTTCCAATTGGCATCAAGAGTCAAAAAGTGCAACCTATACTTTAAAGGTTTCTTTACACTCAACTTTGCAGTGTTTATTTCTAAGGGTCAGAATTGCAGGGACTTTCACATTCTGTATTCTTTTTGTAATGTTTGAGTTTTTATAACAAGCAGATTTAACTTTACTTTTATAACCAGAGAAACATATTCCAAAGATTTTTAATAGAGAAATATTTAATATAAATATTTCTTAAAGCAGGGTCTCAGCTTTTCTTACAAGATTTGGCAGCATAGGTTTCTGCTTTCACTAGTACATAATAAAACACTGGGCAATACTAGCCCTTGAGTTTTAATGATGGTAAATGTCTTCAGTTTTTCTACTAGGACTTTAATGGATTGCCTTTTAAGTCTTCATATTTGCAGGGGTGGGGGACAAGGAATTACAAACATTAAAGAACAGAGGAAACATCATCAGCCGATTCTCTGATATAGAACAGATCCTTCAAATGCAGTCTTCTCCCTTTGATTATTTCCTTTCCTCTAAAGCTTTTGTTTCAGATTCTAATAAATTCTGAATAGATGCAATTAACCTTAATATGTATAACCTTACAGCACTCTACTGACTTTGAAGTAAGTAACCTTACTGTGTAATTGAACAAAGTTTCCTTTTTTCTCATTTCTGCTATGGTTCTACTGATTATTATAGGTATTATGTGTTTTCAAGCTTTCATCATCCTGTTGATTTATTCACCATTTGAGCTGTCAAAGACTTTTTGAGCAATTCCCATTCATTTTTGATGATATTGTATTTGAACAAAAATGACTGCTCCCCAAGACTTGGCAGACCACAAATGTATACCATACTGAGGAATGGAATCCAGTGCAGAAAAGTTGGAAATTCCTTCTAAACAGGACTGTAATTTCTACCCTCCTGCACAATCAGGAAGGTAAATTTGATCTAATCAACCAAAATGCTTTTTCTTTTCATCTACTCTAACAATCTCTTCTGCCATGCATAGAACTGTGCTTTTCTAACTGTAGGAGGTAACCCTCTAATGGGTTATAAAATCAATTCAATGGATTTATTTTTAATGCAGAAGAATAGAAATATAGTATATATTATATAACGCACATATAATCAAGGTGAAAATTGTTTCGTGAAATTTTTTCAGTTATATATACCCTAATATATACTCAGACATGTACTAGGTCATGATGTCAAATGAATTGCTCACTGTCAGCTATGATCAGAGGTCTGAAAAAAATCTCTGGAAGTTACTATGTTGTTGAGGTTGCACAGTGACAGTGAGGTAACTGCTCTAATGCCACAGGCATCTGAACCAGAGTGACTCCATCTTGAATAAGGCTGAGACCTACTAGGCTGCATTTCTAGATAGTTAAGGCATTCTTTTTTTTTTTTTTGAGACGGAGTTTCGCTCTTGTTGCCCAGGCTGGAGTGCAATGGCGCGATCTCGGCTCACCGCAACCTCCGCCTCCTGGGTTCAGGCAATTCTCCTGCCTCAGCCTCCTGAGTAGCTGGGATTACAGGCACGCGCCACCATGCCCAGCTAATTTTTTGTATTTTTAGTAGAGACGGGGTTTCACCATGTTGACCAGGATGGTCTTGATCTCTCGACCTCGTGATCCACCCGCCTCGGCCTCCCAAAGTGCTGGGATTACAGGCTTGAGCCACCGCGCCCGGCCAGTTAAGGCATTCTGAGTCACAGGATGAGATAGGAGGTCAGCACAAGATACAGGTCATAAAGACCTTGCTGATAAAACAGGTTTCAGTAAAGAAGCCAGCAAAAACCCACCAAAACCAAGATGGCAACAAGAGTGACCTCTGGTTGTCCTCACTCACTGCTACACTCTCACCAGCACCATGACAGTTTACAAATGCCATGGCAACATCAGGAAGTTACCCTATATGGTCTAAAGAGGGGAAACACAAATAATCCACCTCTTGTTTAGCAGAAAATTAAAATAACCATAAAAATGAGCCATCAGCAGGCCTCAGGGCTGCTCTGCCTATGGAGTAGCCATTCTTTATTCCTTCAGTTTCTTAGTAAACTTGCTTTCACTTTATAGACTTGCCTTGAATTCTTTCTTGTGTGACATCCAAGAACCTTCTCTTGGGGTCTAGATCAGGACTCCTTGCCAGTAACACTAACATAAGGCTACCAAGCTCACTGTCATTTGTGAAAAGCAGCAAAACAAAAGGAATCCACATAGAAAATTTGCTCCTACAAACCACTTCTCTATTCAAATCATTTTAAAGCTATCATGGGGTTCAGCACATGTTATCCCAAAATATGGCACCTTGGCATTTGAGAAAACAGCAGAAGCAGGAAGTCTTCTCTGACCTTTTCCTGCCTTTCTCCCCTGAAGCAAGCCATATAAAATTTCTCTGACCTTCCTCTAAGACAGGTCATAAGACCCTCATTTCAGAGGGATCCCCCCCTCCTCCCTATACCCAGAGGAAAGGAATAGAGACATAGAGACACAAAGAATTTGCACAAACAGGCCTTGCTAAGCTTCCCTAGTTTATTTTTAGACCATGCTCCTTTTTATTCAATCTCATTTCTATACAACTATCCACTCATCATCAAACTTAAGCATAAAAAGACAGTTTACCCTGGTTCTTTGGGTGTTCATTTTTGAGCACTCCTAAGTGCTATAAAACCTATGTTAAATGAATGGGTACGTTTTCTCTTGTTAATCTATCTTTTGTTATAGGGATATCAGCCATGAACCTAGGGATAGATAAGGAAAGAAATCCTCCCCCTCTCTGCAGCTGTAAATGTCACATTACTGCTTCTATATTACCACTCTCTTTAGCCTATAGAATTTCTCTTTTCTTAATGTCATTATAAAACAATGATAGGACCTTAGCTAGCTGCACCATCACTCTTTCTATCCTCCACCTATACATCATATTCAAGATCCAGAATTTGGCAGACAGACACAGGTTTGAATACTGGTTTTGTCACTCAAAAAGCCGTGAGATCTTGGAAAATCATTTAAATTTTCAAGACACAGTTTCCTCATCTTTAAAGTAGCAAATGACTTATCATGAACAGAATATTCCATAATATACCTGACATACTTACCACAAGATCTAGCACATGGTTAATCATTGAAAACACATGAGCCGTTATTTGCTTTTAGTCTCCCAGGGGTACCCAGTTTAATTATTCCAGGTCCTAACTGATTTACTTTATGCTATAAGATTGCAATGCTTCACTGTATTTCTCATTTAAAAAATAAGTCAAATAGTATTCATATCTGGTAATCATTGAGACATCTACCCATCTCATTGAGACATGTCATTAGTAAGAGTTAAATACTCTCTGTTGCTTTATAAACTTTCTGCACACTAGAGATTGACTTAAATAATCCCCTAATGAATAACCATCTATATTGAGCAATCAAGAAGGTTACTCATTACAATCACAGATACTCTCTTCCGATGCACTATTATTTCATAACATT